TTTGAACTCACTAATTCTTCGGGTTGTGAGTTAAGATAATACAAATGAGTCATAATAACAGCGTAGTATAGTTTCTCTTCATGAGTTGCATTGGGAATATCATGAGAATTTCCAAGCGATTCAGCAAAGTGAACTAAGTTCGATAACTTTTCTCTTATACCACCATGATTATTTAAAATATCACTACGAACCTGTATGATATCAAAGCATTTCAATTCTTTCAGAATCAACAAGTGCAATTGATAGTCAATAAATATAATCTGCTGAAAAAATTCTGGAGAATCTTTGAAGGTGTTCACTGATTTAGGAAAACAGTTAAAATTCAATGTATTCATATAATTCCCATTTATAGATGCTTCTATTAACATTTTAATTTCGTTTAGTTTACAATCTAAACTATTATATTAACTATTTCAGATAAGAATATTGATTTGGAATTGTTGAAGTAAAGTACTCCATATCTATTTTCACAACACGTATAAATGTCGCATATGATAATGTCGTATGATTGTGATTTTTTACTTACTTCATATAAATTTCCTAACATCTTTCGAATACTTTATATAATCCAGGTAAATCTGCAATTTGAACTACGGAACCAAGGATTTTATCTGTAGCTATGAACTTTTGTTTAAGAGTGGGAAATAAGGTATGTTCTAAGACATGATCAAGCTCATTTCTTTTTACAACATTTACCTGTTTCTCGTATTCTTGGGTCTGCTCACGTTTGTCTGATATACTAGTAGTATCCTCTAGGCTGATTTCATTTGAAATAGACTCAGGCACATACAACAACGAAATTTCTTTTAGTATCCCACTCAAACATTCTTTTTCATCTTCGTAATTTATACGAGACCCTAGTCTATATATGAAATATGGTAATTTTGATAAATACGGCTTAACGTTTCTTAAAAGCAATGGAAGCGTAAGAATTGAAGCCTTCCCATCTTCATTATAAGTAAGCTTTATTTGAAAATACTCCCTAAACATATCCTTCATATGCATTATCTTCAGAATGACGTCTTCTTTTTGTTGCAATTTCTTTTCATCATTTAATGAAGAATCATACAACGGTTCAAGAATTTTATCTAGTGCCAATGGCTCCGTTAACGTAATCTCACCATAATTACAGAATTCAGACAAGCCAGCTTGATAAAAAAATTCGTAAAGTATAGCGGAATAATCGCACATGAATAGTTTCACATCAAATTGGAAACAGCAAAGTCTTCTCAGTTCGTCGATAATACCAATATAAGACGAGTTATTGAATATGTTTGTTAGAGGTTTGTGTACTTTATCTGTTATCTCTTGCCTTAAGCTTAGTATACTCTCAAGGTTAACTTGCATTCTTTTCTTCTCAGATACTTGATATTGTGAATCAAAAGTGAAATTAAGGCTTTGTAAATCTACGCTGTTATTGGCTTTAGCCTGAGTATCCAACCCAGGTTCGATGTATTCATTTTCAGTACTACCGGGAATTCCTTCTTGTGTTGTCTTGGGTTGAGTAAATTCTTTCGTCATTTGTCCATGATAATTACTGTCTGTTTGGCCTGTCAAGAATGTGTTGAGCTTCGATTGTTGTGCATCAACCCGTACTAATTTGTTCTCTTGTCTATATTTCTTTGCTGGTTGTGATATGGATTGATTAAGTGTGTCTTCTCGGGATAATCCTGCAAACTCATCATTTGACCTTTTGAGGTCTTGCCTATTTGATAATACATTTTGCGTTTTAAACTTCCTTGAAGAATCAATACTCGATAACAACTGATGTACTTTTGCACTAATTTTCTCTATTATTTCATCTTCATATAAGAACCTTACCTCTCTTTTAGTGGGGTGAACATTAACATCAAGGTTTTGAGGTTTAATTACCAAACTCAAATACATAAAAGGTTGGTTTCCCTTTGGTAAAAAAAATTGATAAATAGAATTGATAGCCCTTTTCAAAGGATCACAAGTAACTAGTCTATGGTTAATAAAGAAGACTGGTTGAATTTTCTTTTTATTATTATAGTTTGAATTCGTTATGGCTCCCGATACTCTGATCAACCCATATTTTGCTGCATAATCTTCTTCTTCTGTCGGGTCGTTTCCTTTTATTTCCAAATCAATTAATTCGTTAGCAACTTCAGGTCCAAATACTGTACGCATCCTTTCAGTTAGGGACATTGTAGGGCGCGTCACAAGCACTTGATATGATTCACCAAATTTTTTACAGCTAAATCCTACGCCATCTGTATGAACTGCATACCTTCCTATCACATCTAAGATCTTGGAGAACTCGTCATTTTTAGATTTTAATGTCTTTAGTCTGGAAGGAACGTTATAAAACAAATCTTCGACTATAATTTGAGTGCCATCTTTTCCAGCTATAGGCTTAGGTTCGATATTAGATACATCAGGTTTGAAATTTGCATTTGCCAACTTACCATTCAAATAATAAGCCTTGTGTGCTAACGGAGAGGTTTTTGTCTTAGTAATTACAGAAAGCCTTGCGATGTGGGAAATACTCGCTAAAGCTTCTCCTCGAAATCCATATGTTGCAATACTCTCTAAATCTTCAAATTTGGATAACTTTGATGTGGCAAACCGTTCACATAAAAGGCTCATATCATCTTTATCTATACCGTGCCCATTGTCACTTATTTGTAATAGTTTTAATCCACCGTCTTTTATAAGGATGTCAATCATTGTAGATTTAGCATCAATCGAGTTTTCTAGGAGTTCCTTTAAGGCATTCGCTGGCTGTATTATAATTTCTCCTGCAGCAATTCTGTTTACAACAGATGTATCCAAGTGTTTGATCTTTTGCCTCTCATTATCTTCCGTTTCACCCTTATCACTCATATTCAGCATTATTAAACATGAGAATATAATATTACTGCTGGAATTTTATGTGAAGAATTTAAATTCACGCGCACAAGGCTTTATCTTAATCAAATCACAGAAATTGACTAAGCTCATTGAAGAATAAAGCAAAGAAAGAGCCCAAATTGCATGGATTGGATAAAATGGGTCCCAAGCTAGAACCAAGAGTTGAAGGTTCAAACATAGATTTTTCAAGTGGTGCAATAAACAACTCAGAAAATAACGGGAATAAAAGCTCCAGTGATTCAAGCGAAAGTTCATATGATAGTAGTTCTGATGAAAGCCTTAGTGACGGGGAACCTGCAAGAAAAATGCAGAAAACAGATAAAAATACGTTGATGAACAGGTATGAGTTCCTTAAAAGCAAGATGCGAGATGAAAATTCAGAAGCCCATAAAGGTGAAGCTACATCGTTGGTATTAGATCATTTACGAGAGTTGAAAGTCATATATGATATCGTACAAAAGGAGCATAATCGAGACACGAAAGTTCACCTAAAGGATGCAGAAGCATTCATGGATACGTCCAAATTTGCAGCGACGAATGCTAAGAATTTGAAATTTGATGATATGGGAATGTCATTGAGTCAGAAAGACTTTCTTTCTCATTTAAGAAGCTACTTAAACCCTAACGAGGCAACAATAGAAGATGATGCTTATGATGATGATGATACTGAGTCCAGTACTAAAGAGGATACTTTTAACTCTTATAATTGGCTTAAGTTGGGTGCATTATACTACTCGGTAAGTAATAGAGCAGTCGTTACAGATTCTCTCTACGGCCCTTTAGAAACGGAAAGGAAAAGACAGGTTACGAGAACAAGAAATATAGATGACACGAAAAACTCTTTGTCAACAACTGCACAACTGGTTCAAGCAAATGATATTTCAGGAAATGAAGAACAGAATACAGCTCATAAGGTTAAGAATGTATACAGAACTTTTGTGCAAAAGAAAGATGAAGCAGGGGTTAATTTCTTTAAATTTTTTATAAACCCCAATTCATTTGCTCAGTCAATTGAAAATCTATTCTTTACGAGTTTTCTTATCAAAGACGCAAGGTTGAAATTATATTTAAATGAAGAAGGAATACCGATAATTCAGACTGTTGACCCACAGGAATATGAAGTCAGTCAGTTAAATCCCTCCAGTGGGGAATCAAATCACCATATTGCAACATTCGATTATAAAACATGGCAAGGTTTGATAAAAAGATTCAACATAACGGAGTCTTATTTGGAAACGAGGCCAGAAGCGGACGATACATACTCATCTAGTGACAATGATGAAGACGAAACTAATTAATAATGCTTAATAAATGACTTAATCTACTATGTACATATAAATTTATAGATCCAAATTACGTATTGTTTCAACTTCTTCGCCATTCAACTCAACCCACCCATCTACTTTCAATAATTCATTCATTGGCCACTTTCTTATTGGTAAAATACTCAAATCCGATTTAACTTTCAATTTTTCAAAGATCTCAATACCTGCAACTCCTATCATAATAGCATTGTCGGTACATAATGCCAAATCAGGGAAATGAAAATTAAGAACATGATCTGAAGTGTTGGTCAAATTACTGTAATTCAAATTATTATAAAGCTTATTTCTTAATTTTTCATTCGCTGCTACTCCTCCAGAGCATATAAAATCTTCAACTCCCTTGAATTTTCCGTCTGCTTTTGCGTAGCTCTCTTTATCAATACCATGCTTAATAAATGCGATATTTATTCTGTTAATTATGTGATCAAAAACCAATTCCTGAAGCTTGAATGCAATAAACATATTAGTCACTTCATCAAAGTCCTTACTTTTGAAATATTTCGTCCTATAACCTTGGATTGTACTTAAAAATGATGCAAAGGAAAATTCTAAATTTTCAGGTATCTTCAGGTGTTTAGGGCTTCTTAGAGGAAGCGAAAGCTGAAAACTAAATTCATTATCTCTTGAATTTGTATTTATGTTTTCAAATCTTTCTTTCAAAGCTTCGGGAATAGAATTAACATACTTTTCTAATTCTTTTCCCAACATGTTTCCAACCAAACCCAATTCCCTGGCACACTTGTCAATAGAATCTCCAGCTGCAATATCTACTGTATTAATAATTATCTCATGTTCCGTAAGAGATTTCAGAAATACAAGCATTGTATGGCCACCACTACAAAGTAAACTTAAAAACGGGTATTTGGGAGCTCCCATTTCAGGTTGTTGGTTCTTAGGTAAATTTGCTATCAAAATGTGGCCTAACATATGATGTACTCCGATCAAGGGTTTATTCCAACTCATGGCGAGTCCTTTGGCAAATTGTAAACTAGCACTTAACGAGCCTACCATACCAGGGCCTCGTGTGCAGCATATTAAATCTGGCGGTGAAGAAGAATTAAGATTGTGTTTCTTACAGAATCTAGAGACCAAATTTGCAACCGTAAACTGGTGAAATTCGTGTGCATCTGTGGGAATAATTCCACCGGTCCCTGAAGAGTTCAATGTCTCCTTGAATTGGTCTATAACCTTTGGTGGTTGATCTTTCGAATATTTATCAAGAAGAGCGACACATGCATCATCGCAAGATGACTCAAGTGCCAAAACCATGTACGGCCTACCACCATTAACCCTACCAATCCTTTTTGGTAAGTTCCTTTTCAATAATCTTGATCGTATCATATCATATCACTTATTCTTATGTGATTATATCCGATTCTATTGACTCGGAATAAATTTAATATCTTTGATATTGCATAAAACAAAGGACAAATAAATATCCTTCCAAATTTACGTAGTAAATATGTAGTAAAATACGATTATTCCTTCACTACTTGAGCTAACGCTTATCCAAATGCTGTCAAAAACGTTATGACTTCAAACGGTTAAAGATGGAAATAATTATATGGCTATAAGTCCGGTATATAGTGAAGATGAAAATCATCAAATTACGTAGCGACGAAAAATGCTATCAAATGCTAAGGAAAAGATCATATTTCATAAAAAGTTTGTCTATATTACTTAATAGTGTCTCATTGGAGACTTTTAGAATAATTAACGAATAATAAGATATAAAGAAGATATTTTATACTTTTGGCGTTTATTTCACCTTAAATAATAGTATCCAAGGTAATAGTTAACTTGATGGGAATATCAAAAAGCTTAAAATCAAATCGATAAATTTAATTCAGGATAACATAGATTTTTGTTTGAACTTAAGAGCAGTAAAATCATCATTATAGAGGTAAACATACTGTTGTATAGACAAGAAGTAAAAAAACAAACTTAAAAAACTTAATATTTAAATCCATCATGTCGCAGGTATATACATCATCCACTATACCGTTAAGTTTCAATCCACAACATGACGGGCATCTGCAATGGCAGCATATCCCTCCTAGTTCTTCAGGAAGTACGCCATCCGAGTCTGAATCATTTTTGGATAACGCATCGCCAATCATTAATTGTATGTTAGCTGGTGGTTTTGGGGGAATAGTTGGAGATTCTGCTATGCACTCTTTAGACACAGTCAAAACGAGACAACAAGGATTTCTGTATCAGCTTAAATATAGAAGCATGATACCAGCATATTTGACAATTTTCAAAGAAGAGGGATTTTTTAGAGGCTTGTACGGAGGATATACCCCAGCCATTCTCGGTTCTTTTCCTTCTACGGCTGCATTCTTTGGGACCTATGAATATACCAAAAGAAGGCTTATCAATGACTTCTACTTCAACGAAACTATCTCTTATTTCATTGCCGGTGTCTTAGGAGACTTGGCTTCAAGTGTTTTCTATGTTCCATCAGAAGTCTTAAAGACAAGATTGCAATTACAAGGAAAATACAACAATCCATATACCAAAGGATGTGGTTACAATTATAAAGGTTTAACAAATGCGGTTACGTCAATATGGAAAAAGGAGGGGCCTTCAACCTTGGTTTTTGGATATAAAGAAACATTATTCAGGGATTTACCATTTAGTGCCTTACAATTTGCATTTTATGAGAAAATTAGGCAGTTCGCCATCTATTATCATAAATCAGACGATTTACCGGTTTCAATAGAGTTATTCACAGGTGCCTCGGCCGGTGGATTGGCTGGTATTTTAACAACGCCGTTAGATGTTATCAAAACTAGAATTCAAACTGCAACCACAACTACAGCCGCTGCATCTCTGGAGAAGTTGACAAAGAATCCCCCCAACATAAATCCAATATTCAAAATATTAGATAAGTCATCAACAATAAAAGCTTTAAGATCGATCTATAAAATTGAAGGGGTATTTGGATTATTCTCCGGTGTTGGACCTAGGTTTATTTGGACAGGAATTCAAAGTTCTATCATGTTGTTATTGTATCAAGTTGCACTTAAAAAATTTGACCAATATTTGGAGTCAGGATTGACAAATTGATGACTCCCCCACATGACCATTTAGACTTTGTAAATTAGATATTCACTGTAAATACATTAGAATCACATACATATACATATTTATTGTTTTATACAAAAGAATCCTCTAATCTTTAATCAAAGAGTTGCAAATACAATTTTTGATGCTCTGCTTTATAAAGTCATGTGATGGCTAAAATATTTCAGTATCGATATTTTGACCTTTCTTAAATCATAGGGTATATTTATCAAATCAAGTAATATAATGGCAACGTCTCAGCAGCAGGATTTGGTGTTCTTTAACGACAATTCATTGATTTCAAATGGAATATTAAAGTCCTCGTCGTCACACTGCTCGATAATTTCACATGTACAAGGTACCTCTCCTACATGGTTAATTAATTCGCTACTTGAAAATTCATTAATTGGAACTGCTTGTCTTGTTAATAACGATCTTAATAGAAAGATTCCTGATAGATCAGAAGTTTATTTTATCTCATTTTCCCATCCAAAGGACTTTTATATCAAAAATTGTAAGAAAAATGGATTAGATCTATCATTATTATCGAACTTCAAATTTATTGACTGCTTTAGTGATTTATTTTTAAACAAGATTAAAAACCCAAACAAAGCTTCAGGTGAAGTATCCAAGTTATTTGAAAATATCATCAATGAAATTAATGCCAGCGGTAATACTAATAAAGTTATATTTATCGAATCAATAGAAATCTTATTAGCAGCTACCAATATTGAAAGTAAGGAGCTTTTGAAGCAATGCTTCAAAATAAATAAATTATGTCGTCAACTATTTGTGATAGTAGCGCAAGACTACCCTCAGGTGATTGATTTATCGGCAAGTATACCTCAAGACTCGGTGTTTAAGATTTCAGATTTCTTACTGAAGCTCTACCATAGATCCCAATTGAATCTTAATTTACAGCCATTACCTACTGGAAGAGCAAATGATATTACGGGTTGTATAACAATATCAAAAGGAGCAATTCCCTACGAAAATATTGAAGGCGTGGAAGTTATCGAAAAAGAATACATTTATTATGTCAATAAAGAATCTAGTATTAAATTATTTTTCCGCTAGTGTTTTTAAGATTATCCTTTCTTTCTGTGTATATTATATAAATCATCTAATGCAAATTCAATTGAGCATCTAGCCCATAACAATGGAAATAATGGCCAGACAGACCTCTCGCCCACTAAAATCCAGTATGGAATATTCTCCATAGTCTTATGTACATCGAAAACTCTTCCAAAGTCCTTAACGAGATATCTTAATTCTGGAACAATTGAAATTTCTCTAATGTTAGTCAATGATTGAGGGGTCGATGGCTTCTCATCAATACAAAATCTTTTGATTAGATCCGATAAAAGACCTAGCTTATTCATTACCTCTAACCTATGTTGAATTTCCATACCCAATAGGTTTTTTATTAATTTCATAAAATTATAACTCGTGTCTTTAGCATACTTTTCCATATCATTGACAGAAGTTTTGTTCTTATCCAACACGGGTGGCTTATTTTCATCAATAATTATTTGATTATTAAATTTAGATTTCATGCTCTTTTCACTTCCTTCACGATTGTAACGCACTTTACCATAGGAGTTATGATAATGCTTCAAATCGTTACTTATTAAAGGTGCTAGATATGGACGGGCCAAGCTAATTATGAAATGGTTTACATTGAATAATTCTGTCAACCTGGTATAAGGAGAACTTTCCTTTAAGTGGTAATTATAACTTGTGTTATCATTGTAACCATTTTTACTTCCTGAATCATTAGAATTTGGTTGGTTACTGGGATGATCATCCTTTTTTCTATTTGATGCCCGGAAATACTGTTGCAGGTAGCTCACATCTTGTGGTTTCAAAAATACGACATCGAAATCTGGAACCTTAGGAACAATTTGATTATTAAAATCCTTAACATAGAGCTGGACATTATCGGAAAGCACACCTGTACCAATAGAAGCGTAAATAGCAGTCCAGATTATTACATTCGGAGCCGTTATGTAATTCAATAACGACGTTACAGACTGGTGGGTTGGATGAACAACAATATTTAAAATCTTTTCAGTCTTCAAATACGCTTCTTCAAATGTTAAGTCTCCGATGGTGTCTCGAACAAACTTCAAGAATATCAATATATCTTGTGAATAACCTTTCTTAACAACATTTTCAATCACATTACCATACCTTTCATCCACATCGTGATTCAATCTATCGATATCAGCAATCACGTCAGCGATGTTAATTAATATGGGAATTAATTCTTGATCAGTCAAAGTACAGACTAATGATGCCACCGCAGCACCTATGGCACTTCCTCCAATTATTCTAGGTAAAAGTCCTTTAAAGTATAACGCTTTGACGACACCTAGATGGCAAAGACCAAACAAAGAACCTCCTTGTAATAAAAGTGCAGTACAACCGAAGGATTGTCTTGCATCGTGAAAAAAATCTAACTTCAACTGTTTGCTATTCATAATAAACTCATCATTGTCTCTTTCAGATGGAGCATTTATGGACTCGTTTAAATAATTGAGGCAGTTCAATACCTCAGTAATATACTCCTCTATCTTGAATTTAGTCCCTAAGTAAGATTTTGTATATAGTCTCTTTTGAGATAAACCACCAAAATTTCTAATTAATCCAGACCGAAACAAAGAGATAATCAACTGTGAATCCTGATTCAATCTTGCCTCACGTAATAGCTTTAACCTATCATCAATAAGAATATAATCATAATGTTTGGAAATAAAATTCTGTCTCCACAAGTCCATATTTGTTAATTTATCAATCTCAGCAGCTATTTTTTTCCATTCATTGTAACTCAGAGCATTCTTCAACTGTTTTAAATACTCTTTGAAGGGATCTTTAGTGTTATAAAACTGATATAGCTTTTTTACCCAAAAGAAACAAATATCGACTATGAAGTCAATAATTACCCATATAAATAAAGGGGTGTGGTTAATTACTAACGCTATAATAGGAATAATAATTGACCTAAATAAATTACTAAACATTATCGTTGTAATCTGTGCATTTCTTTATTGTTGAAAAGAGTTGAAGGGTAAAAGTAATTATGTCTCTACTAAATTTTACAGCAATAGTAAGTGAAATTGTTATGAGGTAGTTTCTCTTATCTATAGCATGTGATCGCGGCAAAAAAAAATATAATTGATTATGCTAACATTATTTACTCATTACCCGATGATTTCATCAACTTCTTACCACGGTTGAAAAACCTTTTACCTAGACTTGAAGCTTGCAATCCGGAAGTTTCTACTTTATCTCTAACAATTGAAACCTTACTTCTAATCGACGCGTGTCTTCTAATATCATTATGAGCAGCATTTTGGTACGCTTGAGTAGCAATTTTACCTATATGAATATTCGAAGCATCCTCGGATTGTCTCAAAGATTCATTTAGCCAATTCAGTAAGCCTGTTTCATAATCAGTTTCTTTTTGAAGTGCATCCTTAAGCAAACGAATTCGATCTATAGGTTGAGATGTTGCCATAATACTCTTCCAATTGTAAAGATTATACGGTTGTGGAGTAAAATTTCTACTTGTGGATTGAATTGTTGTGCCTTCCGAGGATGTACTACCCAAACTTTTCTTAAAGTCTGCTATTGGTTCTTCGCTGTTGGCAAACGATGACTTTGATTTGGAACTTGTGATTTCACTCTCTTCGGCATCTGTCGTACTTGGCCCTAAGAGACTAGCATATTTCTGTGTTGTTTCTTGAGCAGTTTTACCCAAATCGTCCTTCGAACTAATTGGCGTAACCTTCTCTTCTTTAAATACCTGCGGGTGGTAATGATGCTCTTTCAAGACAGAGTCTGTTGTGTTGATGGTTTTAGTTAAATCAAGACTGTTATCACTATCATTCATCGTAGAATCATGGTTGTCGGGATCTTCATCAATACTTGGTAATGCCGCATCAATAGTCTCAGGTACTGAAACGGAACTTGAGTTGGATACAGAATCAAATGAAGCTCCTGAGACCGTTCTCATCTTCGTGAACTTGTTGTAACTACTATTAGAATCTGCATAAGGGTTGAAATTTATGTGTGATTCGTTATCATTGTCATTAATAAATTGATCACGATAGTTATTGGTATTTGGTTTCCAATTTCCCATACTTATAGTGTTAGCGCTCATCGTAGAAATTCTCCTCGAAATATCTTCTTCTTCCTTGTTAGAGTCCGCTTGTTTTGGAGCTTCTTCCTTTTGGCCAGCAGATTGGGCAGCGTCAAAAGAAAAGCTTCCAGTAGATAAAGACCCTGAGGATGCAGCGGAAACAACTGGATTCAAGTTAGTTTCTAAGTCATGATTTTCATTATCATCACCTTCAGGGACATTTGATAATCTGGCAGCTCCTGAATCTACCAGATTTAAGTCCAAATTCTTATTACTTCCATCATCATTCATGTATCCACTCACAGCATCCGCAATATTCGTGTAATCAACTGAAACCAATCCATTTCTATTTGTGCTTGTGGTAGTTGAACCGGGTGGTGGTTTTCTTATTGACCGCCTATGACCCGTTAACCCTGAAACAAAATCTTCGTGTCCTTTTATCTCATCCCCAAATGATAATGGGGCGATAGGCGTTGGCGGTTGTGAATCTTCTTCTGGTTCATCCTGTAAGACATTTTGAATATTTAAGCCCTTGTGGTTTTCTCCATCATAATGGCTAAATGAGTTATTTTCAAAGTCTGGTAACGAAATGTTCTGTAACGAATCCATATTGAGAAATAATTCATCCTGTGCAGATGATTCATTTCGAGTTGAAATATCTGCTCGATCTTCTTTATGCCCGACAATCGAAGCATTTTGTAAATCTTTTATTAAGTTATCTAAAGCATCAGTCTTATTCTTACGACTAGAATCCGTTTCTTCGTTCAAATCATCGGAATTAACTTTTTCATCTTCAATTGGAGGTTTTTCATCTTCACTCTCTGTCTTGTCGCTGTCTTTTTGACTATTATAGCCCCAATCATCATCACTGCTATTGTCATCGTCATCATATGTTTTCTTATCAATGGATAAAACTAAAGGGGCGGGAGTCTCCGTTGATTTGTTTTCATTCGAGTTCGTGACTTCATTATCTGATTGTGTGTCCAACTGTTCATTATTTGGATCCAAATACTTCTCCGACTGATCTTGTTGAGTTTTATGGTTTGTATCAACAGGCATATTATCAGAGTATCCACTTTCATCTGCATATGTACCAAATTTTCCAATATCTCTTACATTCAAGTCTGATGGCTCATTCTGGATAGAATCTGCGTCAGAAAGATAACTTCGATCGGACTTTGGAGTCTCGCCTACGAAGTTACTTGTTCTATCCGTCGTATTGAAAGTAGGTGTTGGTGGAAGCAAATCTGACTGCTCATAATGCCTATTGTGTGTGGTTACAGTCTGATTTACAGGCATTCCTGACAACTCGCTTGTTTTATCATCATTTTTACTCGATGGTTGTTTAGATTGTAAATTTGTTTCATTATTGTCAAAAACAAAATCCTCGCTAGCATTCTTCTCATATGGCTCATTTATTTCATCCATAATCTCTGGACCTTCTTCATCTTCACTGGAAGAATCCTCTGAAGTATACCGCCGCGTTCTTAGTTTATCGATAGACAATACTAAGTTCGGATTTTGAATATCCCTGTCTCCTTCAGGGGTATCAAATTGGTCCAATTGACAAACATCTGTATGCTTATGCTGCTCTTTCTCTTCTTTGATGCTGGCGCTTTGTTCATCCCCTGTTCTAGTTTGAGATTCGGAATGTCCAAGTTCTGATTCATTACCTGACTCATAGTCATAATCATAATCATCACCCCACTCATCACCATAAGTAGGAATAGATGCTTTAACCCATCTCGTGGATTGATTTCTTCCAAATTTATCAGACATCCTAAACTTACGTCTTAAAGGTATCTAAAATATGGACTCCATCACTATTAATAGGCGTATTCATTTTTATGCGTGTTTTATTTTCATTCTGTCATTAGACACGACTCTACTTATCTTTATAAAAATCCCAACTGTATATTTAAATTTTACTATAAAACAAACTCTACATTATGAACTGTAAATTCATATCCTGTGGATGTGAACAACTCAATTGAGGCTTCTGTGAGTACTTGCTTTTCAATAAGGTTCTCATGTTATTCAACAATGACAAGTAAGATTGGTTTGGCATCTCATTCATAGTCTTAATGAAAGACCAACTCATTGCCCCCGTACTTTGACCCGCTTCATTGGCATCTGCACTTGTTTGATCATCCTTACAACCAGAAATAGAAATAACATCGGCTGGCGAAGCTTTCATTCTAATAACTTGGTCTTTATTAGTACTTGCCAGATTTGATATTTTCTTGACAATCCCAGAAAGCGACGAAATAGCACCGCCAATGTTACCACTTTCGTAAGAAAGGAATGCATTAAATGCACCAGTACCAGCATCTTTCAATAAATTTGGTTCCTTGACAACCCCCTTTGTAGAATAGACATAAGGAAGATCTAACGCAGTCCCTGAGTGGCACGAATCATACAAAGCAGTTAATCTACATCCTTGTGGTAACGGTCTCACCATGATTTCATGCATAATATCATCAACGATGTGTCCATTGACTTCAAAATCAAGAGGATAAATAACATCATCAAGACCACTTTCTTCATCCCCGTCTAAATCTTTAGTAACCCCACCGTGGCCCGAGTAATGGAAAACTAACGAATCATTAGGTCTGGCATCTTTAACTAACCATTGCATAGCTCTAATAATGTTTTCTTTGGTAGGAATACGAGCTCTTTGGTTTTGGTCGTCTGTCAAAATAACCATGTCATCGTATGAATATCCGAAGTGTTGGTTCAAGAAATTACTCATATTTTTGACATCATTGATGCACCCACGCAACTGGTTCTTACTGCCAGTATAATTAATACCAACTAATAATGCCTTCTTTTTACCGTTACAGTTCGAGTACTGGAAAGTCATACCAGTATTTTGGCCGAAATTTTGAGGTGCTGATGGCGGTGGTCCAGTCGGATTTGGATTGCCTCTACCCTGACCAAAGTGCTGCGCTGGGTAACCTTGCTGTTGCTGTTGTGAATACCCTTGTTGTTGTGGATAACCTTGTTGTTGTTGTTGTGGATACCCTTGTTGTTGTTGTTGTGGATACCCTTGTTGTTGATATCCTTGCGGTGGATATTGGCCTTGTGGTGCATATCTTTGTGGTGGATACTGTCCTTGTGGTGCATATCCTTGAGGTGCTCCCGGTGGTGGACCATATTGGTATCCATTAGGTGGTGGCCCTGGTGGTGGTGCACCATATTGATATCCATTTGGTGGAGGTCCCTGTGATGGAGCCTGTTGATTATATGTTTTTCTTCCTGATCCTGGGAACATTATTCAATTCTTCTTCTATAGGGTGTATAAAATATACAGATAATAACAGAACACCGTTTTAATGAAATAGTTCACTCGCGTGCGTGTGCTGCATCAATTTTTACGTCATAAAATATTCTATTATAGCCAACGCTAGATAGATACTATATATATGTATATATAAAGGAAACGGGATAAAACTTCATAACTTTGAGTTTGGATCGCTGTTTTGTTGCTTGACAACACTTGGGTATAAATCACCCATGTACAGACCAATATGCCATGCAGCACCATCTACAACCTGAATCGTTCCTGTTACGTAACTTGCAGCAGGGGAGAATAAATATACGGTGGACTCAGCAATGTCTCTAGCAGTACCTAATCTTTGTAAAGGAACCTTCTTTTCCAAAGGAGGACCACCTGGAGGAGCTAATCTAGCGAAGCCCTCGGTGCCATCAATGAGACCTGGGGCAATACAATTAGAGCGAATACCAATTGGGCCTAGTTCCACAGCCAATGCGTTGGATAACGCATCAACACCTGCCTTAGCTGCTCCGACATGTGATTGGAAAGGAACACCATAGTAATGTAATGTGGCACTGACGAATATAATGGACCCTTTGTTTTTTCTCAATTGATCAAAACAAGCTTTGACAGTATTAAAAGATCCTAACAAATCAATAGATATAACAGACTTAAACGCATTAGATGACAAATGATTGAAATCGGCAATAAAATTACCAGCAGCTCCGGCAATGACAAAATCAATTCTACCCAATTCATTGACTGTCTTCTCAACTGCGCCGACGATACTGTTGATATCTCTAACATCAACATTTCCGACACCTAAAACCTTTGCCCCCGGTCTCAATTGCTCAATCTCTTTAGCTGCCTTTGTTGTTTTCTCTGGGTTTCTACCTATAATAGCAGCATTAGCACCTAACAAGACCATGGCTTCGGTTTGAACACGACAAATTGTTCCAGCCCCTCCAGTTACGAATATCACTTTTCCTTTGAAAAGATCAGCTTTCCATGCACTATTTTCTACGAATGATTTATCTAATGAGGCCATTTTATCGTTTTATGTTTGAATTAATTCTCCTAATGAATTATTCAAAGCGCATATCAGCTAAATATATTTAAGTAGCCTGCGGGGGAGAACTTACTCGTTTGGCTGTGTGCCGGAATAATCACATATGATAATTGTGCCCAAAGTTGGACCACGGTTGATAACTAACGATAAATGATTCTCAGAAGCAGAAGACTTTAATCTTCTCCAAAGTCTGATAAAGATAATTATTTACATATGCTGGGCTTATCATGTTTGAAGCCGTATCAAGCAGAAGAATATAGTATAATAACACACTAGAGAGTGGTCTGCGGCCACACTCTCAATGTCTCTGTGGATATCCATGAGTAATGCTCATAATGGTTTGCGCCATATATTGAATATTGGTACTATGTTCGTTGAGCATTGAATTCTTTTGATATTCAATTTCACTGAAACATATCACATTCAGTATTTTGCAACAACTTAAGAGTACATACGGGTATATATTTATCAGACTTTTAATGAACTC